CCCCAAAACCCCAAAACCCCAAAACCCCAGATAAAAAAAATAAAGGTTTTAAGTAGGAAATAAATTCATCAAATTAGTTATCAAAAATTTTATTACACACAATTACACATCTAAACTATTATATTGCTGCTATAGCAACTAATTTACTTTTCTTAATAGGCTTGCTATCAAATGACTTTATTAAGTAAACTTTACTACTTTACTATCATCTTATTAATCCCTTCAATACTCTAAATACTTTTTAAAATTTGATGATAGTCTGAAATTATGACTTAATTTATTCCATCAGCTAATGCCAAATGTAAGATTGACTCAATATCATCATCTGATTCTGTAAGATAAGGATGTTTTAAGGATTTAAGAGCATCAAATCTATTACTAGGGTTAAAAGCTAACATACCATTTAGGAGGTCAAAAGCCTGGCTTCCAAACTACTAAAAATATGACAAAGTATAATTTATCTTGTAATTTGTTCTTATCTATGAAATGATTCTCACGTAATCTTTCTATCGATTACTGTCAAGGAAATTAAATTCATTCATTGATAGAGGTTCTCTAAATTTGATTTGTAAAACTAGCAGATCCTCAACCTGCTGCAAACTCTACTCTTTAGATAACTGTGGATTGAGCATATTAGGTGAAAGTGGTTAGCATTATCTTGCAGGGAAAAGCAATTATCTCTTCATTGCAATGGTTGAAATAAGCATTTCCGCTAAAATGCACCCAGCAGCCCATATGTCAACTTGAAAATCATGCCTGGCCATCATAGCTACTTCAGGGGCTCTGTATGGCCTTGTTGTGACTTCCTTGGTATAATCTCCTTGAAATGGGGACTTATAAACTTGATTGTAGAATAAGTTGTTTAGAAACTCAAGTCCCTCATCTGTTTTGACTTTAGAGATTGAGAAGTCAATTATTTTAAGAACAATCCTACCTTCGCAATCTTGCTTAAATAGAATATTAGTTGGTTTCAAGTCTCTATGAATAATTCCGCACTGGTGTAAGAAACTCAAGCCAGTCAACAGCTCTCTCATAATAGACTCAATTAATCCTGGGTTTTTAACGAAATTGCTTGGATCTCTCATTAGTTCATCTAGAGTGTTCGGAATGTATTCCATGACTGCTGCAATCTAATGCTTTCCCTTGTCATCTAACCCAGTCAAGATATCATATAATCGAATCATATTAGGATTCTTTGATTAACTCAACTATCTCATAATTGATATCTCTGAGAGAATTGAAGAGGCAATCTTGACACTATCTTTAGGGTTTTTATATATCTTAATTGCTACATCTATTTGATTCTAAGCATCGTAAGCTAGCCAAACCTCCCCGTATGATCCTTCCCCTAACTTTTTCTGCACTTGGTATCTAGTATACTGCTTTAGTATTGAAGGATAAAGCTCTAATGAATTGAGAAAGCTCAAACTCTCATCTTCAAACATATTCATTATTTTCATGGCGTTTTATATAAAAGTAAACTGCTCAAACAAAACTAATTGATTTTGCTTAATTGAATATAACCGATAAATGATTTAAATTAAATACGGCCTAGATTTTTTTAATATGCTAACTGCCAATTATCGCTCATTCCAACTAATGGGGTTTTGGGGTTTTGGGGTTTTGGGG